GGCGCTGAGAAGTCGACGTCGATCTTTCCTGTGGGGATGAAGAGAGCTGATCCGCTGGAAATATCTAAGGGCAAAACGAGAAAACCAAGGATGTGGGATTGGAAAGTCAAGCGAGGTGGAGTGTGGCCATCTTAAACAATATCAATTACTCTAGCGCTCACGTGCCCGCGACACAGGCTGGGGAGGGTAGGAACGCGGTTTGTTTTAGCCACTGTGCCGTCGGCCCCCGGATTGAGTGTATGCCCGTTTTCACTGGCTATCACTGCTTGCTCGCCCTTCTTCGCCTGTTTTCTCTCCTCTTTAGCCGGCCTCCTCCGCTTCTCAATCAGTGACAACTCCCGGTATTGGTTTTTTTTTTTTTTGAAAGAGCCTGAGATCAAGATGTTCTAATGTCTTTCCCGACGCCTTCGTCCAGGGCGCTGGGTTATCTATCTTCCCCTTCCATATTCATCCTACGATCTCCGACAAGAACACGCAATCACGAACACCTGTTTTCGCTGAGAGTAGAGCATATAGGAACCTTTGAGTCCCGCTCGAGCTTTGATCTCGCGCTTTCAGCCCTTGACAGATCTAGGTGACTGCGGAGATGGGTGTCAGTCAGAAGCCTCAAGTTGTCTTTGAGGGCAATTTCACGCATTGATACCATCTCCACGCCCAGAACGCATTTGAGGAGTAACCATCGTCCAATTGACTTTGATGCTAGAGGTCATCGTGATATTTCTCCGCATTGAATGATGACAGTTGATCAGAATAGCCGCGACGGAAGAAACCAGAAAGGCATGAAAAATGAGTCGAAGAATGAATACCAACCAAAGGCGAGCGGTTGATTTGCCTTTTCAAAGCCTACCGCCGCCTCTCCTTGTGCATTTGTTCATGTGTACCAAAGGTTTCCTCAAAGCCTTCACCGTCGCCGGAAATGTCTGGACGATATGGAGTGTTACATTCGATACGTGAATACTATCCTTGTTGATCTGTCCGAACGACTACTTTCCTCGTCTGCAGTTGCTCCATTTGAGACCATCCATGTTTTCACCCACTCCCGTAGCTGTATCGCCTGCCTGAGACGCATAGTTGACTCTAATTGCTTATTTACAGAGTGGCGTAACCCTTCACGACGGTACCGTCATCCAATTGATCTCGCCGGGTCAACAGCGATCTGTTCAGATTCGTTCTGCCTAGTCGATCGTACATCTTAAGTTCTCTGGTTAGGATTGAGCTTCGGGATGGACTTCCATGGCAGAGTCGCAGAGGAGATGAGGTTGCTCCGGTGCAGTGTGGGGTAAAGAGGATATGCCAGTGGAGACGTCGAAATGTTCAAGATATTGAATGTACTTTTCGGTTGCTTCCTTATGATGCTGAGACGCGCTGTTGAGGACAACCAGGATATAGAGCAGTGCTGCAGCCGACACCTTCCAGATCGCAAAGAAAAGGGAATCGCTGTGGTCCAGTTGGCCAGAAGGTCCTCGTATACTTCCGACGCCAATAGGAGGAAGTCGGATGCGGATTTTATAGGCTTGCTGCACACTAGTGTAGCAAAATGGAATCTCATCGAGGCCTGATTGTTGGTCGACATCAGGCCCGTCTTTGGACAACATCTCATATTGGACCGGAGGCATGTCGTACTTCTGCATCTTGCAAAGTTGGCCAGAAGTATCAATGGCAGAGTCTGTCGAATGTCGTCCGTCATGATGACCGCCATCATCAAGCTCATCTGGGCGGATGGAAGGCGAGGACTGACGTCGGTGGTGTGTATGATTGCTCGACCTGTCCGGCACGGGCATCATACCATCAGACTGAACCGTGCCATCCGCAGGCATGATATCCGGACCATTACTGTGGTTCAGACCGTGATTCTGACTAAGGGCTGCTCTTCGCCGAGCGGCTTTCTTCTCGACATGAGTCTGACGGCGAGATAAGTGATTATCAACACGAGTTGATTTACGTCGGCGGGTGTAGCACTTTGGGAAGTGACTCTCGAGATGGCAAGGTTTCGAATAAAATCTGCCACACAGGGTGCACGTGCCTAGTGATCATCTTTGTCAGCGAGACAACAAGCTGCGTGGGTCAGGAGGTTGTTACTTACGGCGCAAGAGGTGGAGCTTCAAGTTGCTCTTTCGCTTGTAGACCTTGTTACAGTGAGGGCAGGGAAACTTGCCGCCGACATTCTTGATCAGGTCGAATATGCTTTTGGCATTGTAGGTGCGAGAGGTAGCGACAGCAGCGCAGCGAGAAGCGCTGCAAAGGAGGCTCCAGCGACCCTGGAAGCCGACGGCGTGTGTAGGTCGTTCGGCCTCATCAATGCCATTGGATACAACACTGCCACGTCCATCAGAAGAGTTCTCATCGGGCTGGGGCGTGATACTATCGACAGCGACGGGACGCATGGCAGGAAGACCGTGTCCAGACGTGGGGCCAGGCGCGGTGAGCCACCGGGAAGAGGAAGCCATTGTGAGTTGGAGCCGCATGAACGAAGCTCTGTACGCCTGGACCGAGTGAGAATACCAGCCCACCGGTGGCAAGACTCGCGGTGCTGCTGCTGTTGAGGCTGATAAGACGATATGTTGGCCTGGGAGCTCGATGCATTGGGAATCGCTGGAGTGTGAGACGCGTGAGGGCTGATGCCGTACGCCCGCTCCAGGGCGGCAGATGTCTGCGGCTTCAAGGGCGGCAGAGTCTCGCGAGACAGCAAAGAGCTGCTTTTATGGATAGGACGAGGCAAAATGGCTGAAGGCGGCGGGCAAAGAACCGAGGTCGGCTGGATATTGTCTTCAGGAGGGTTGGAAATGAAAACTAGGCACCGATACTTGTTGCCCTCGTGCTTGAAGCGAGCAAAAGAAAAGGAAGTCTCCGCCTGAGAACCTGAAAATTGAAAACTGAAAACTACCGGGTATCTGGCGCCGCCGAGAGATGAATTGTGAGAAGGGGATGTGCGTGGGAAGGAAAAGAAGTCGACCTCGCCAAGGTGGAGTCAAAGATGCGCCTCGTGGTGGTTGTCAAGAATGGCCCCTTCGCGCGCCCGTGTGCGAGGCGGGGATGACAAAAAGGCAAGAAGCGCAGGGCGTGGTCACTTCTGAGTGGAGTAATGCTACAGAGAATTAGTTGAAATAGCAGAGCAGCACAGCTGAATGAAAATGGCCTGATTCCGTAGGCCTCGTCTGTCTGTGTTGACGGTTCAGCCACTCCATATCTCTGGCCAAACCCCACGCGGAAGAAGGACGAAGCGGTCAGAGTTGTTGCGACCAGCACAGATCGGCGAGGCAGGGATACAAGAGCTGTTTCCAGATAGATAAAAGTGCAGTGCTCCATGGCCGATACATAAAAAGCGCACATGTTCTCATGAGAGTCCTGTTAGACGAAGTCCCACGCGGGCCGCTCGCACTGCTCAGCGGATGGCAGGGACGGCGTACTGGAGCAGGGGTGGACGAGTACCTCACTGTATCGATCAGCCACCTTTGGTTTGTCGCCATGCGAGGTTAGCGTGTGGGGAATGCCCACCATGCGCAAGAGGTGAGATGAATTCGGGGGGGTGTCGAATTATCCCATGTACATCCAGGGGGTGGACGCGAGAAGGGGTGAGGGGCGTGCGCACGTCTCTCTGATCAGCCTGCTCGCGGCAGGGGTCGTGAACTTGAACGGCTGGTGTCGCTATATAAGTCCCCCCATCCACCAGGGGCCCATTCTGAAGCGCGAATTACCATCTAGATGGCGCCGATCCCTGTCGCGCGGATCATTGGCCATTGCGGCCGCATATCAAAGTCGGCGAGCGCACTGAGGTGACAAGCAGAGAGCAGGACTGGAGTCGATGGTGCATCGAAACAGCATGTAGCGCCGGCTATCCTGTAATTCCCTCGCGCCGCCGGATGAGCTTCCCCGGAGCATGGACTGTCCTCCAGCCAGTTGGTCGTCCGCCGGTTTCTGAAGATCTGCGAGACGCGGATGGTCCTGTAGCGGCCGCCGCTCCCAAGCGGATAGCAGCTGAGATTGCATTGGAACGCGCTCACGCTGTCCGCGGCTGAAGACAGCGAGTTCCCCAAAGTTGCTACTGCCACCGGTCACTGCCAGTTGACGGGACATGCCGCTGGGGACTTGGTTGACAGCGCCACTACCTAAATGTACGATAGCCCTTTTTGCGAAACTTTCTGCTCCCTTGGAATGTTGTCTTAACCCCCCTGATTACGTTCCTCATCGTCGGTCATCGGCAAGACTGCAGTCGTCTCGGTGGCCATGATGGCTCTGTGTGTTCCGATCACGATTCTCATGTGGTCTCCGCTCAGGATCAATGTCCCAAGGGGCAAATACGTGAGTGCAACCCAGATACTTTCATGCGCAGCCCCGTCTAGACCTAGGCACAAGATAGGTGATACTCAATTGTTCTCAGGTTAAATTGGTCGCTCGTGCCGCTTGCACAGTCATCCTGGAAGGCGTGGTGTTGGCACTGGCCCTTCGACTCGCAACTTGGTGCCCGTCTCATTTGCGGCTGATACGTGCATCCGCTCTCACCAGCGGTGCGCTTGCTCAGCGGCTCCTTTTGGCCTGCCTGAGACCTTACAGAAAGACCGATGCGATAGGTAGCCGCTCCGCGATGTGCGTCACCGCAATCATGATGTTCGGGATCTCAGGAATCAGCGATTCGTCCATAGTATGTGTTCTTCAATTCTGCCGAACGCGCCCTAACCGACTATTGGACCTTGCTTCTCAGCGCCCAAACGATGACCATGGTAATTTTGGATACGTGCTTGTGTAAAGGCGATAGAATTCTTGACTCTCTTCCAAATGTCGTGTGTTAACTCGTCGTTTGCAAGGCCTGTGACGACGGTCTTCATACACATGCTGAAAAGCCTGACGGTTCATATACTAGTCGGTGAATGTCAGAAAAACAAGGAGCCTGAACATGAGTCGAGGCGGGTGTTGACAAATTGGGATTGGGCGCATAAGAACCATGAATAGCCATTAGCGGGCTAGTTGGTCGAGGTTCCGATCATAATCCACGCAGTTTGGCTTTTACGTTCTGCCAGGGTACAAGTTTATTGCTCACTATGTCCTGTCTTCATCTTTCAACACCGATGTCATCTGGTCAAATCATCGCCGCTCTCTCCAAGGGACACGATACGCTCTCATACCGCCGTAAACCAAGTCTTGCTGCCGCTACGTCAAAGTTCCGATTCGAACATCGAGTCCGCGCGGAATCGCCCGACAGTCTTGTCATACTGCAGCCACACGCCCGACTTAGCAATACGACACCCAAGCCAGAGGCACCGGTCCGCGCGCTCCTGCAACATCCAGCCAGTCGGTGGATCCGTCTCGTCGGTGTCCGCTCCGATTCTGGAGAACCATTCATCCGGATAATACTTTTCAGCCCACAGCAACCCCCTCAGCGCAAAGTCCTCGGGCAGCGGTTGGACAGCTTGAGATACGGAGTGCGGCAAGTCATCCGACTCCATCTTCTGGACGGATGAACATGATTCCATCATCATGTTCAAATATGAGCAGATGCCCTTCCAAGGCATCTTGTCCCCGACAAGGGCCATTGCTTTGGAGAACTGTGACACGTGATGCAAGAACACTAGGGCGACATGCAGATAGGAGGAAGTCTTCTCCTCACCGGTGCTGCTAAACACTGCCCTGTGGGCGCGAGACACAAAACCAAGCGCGTGAGTGAATCTCTGATTTGGGTAGGGCATCATCTCGTCGGCCTTTGGGGTGTGGCTCATTGCCAGGCCTCCTTCGTCTGCATGTCCTTGTTTGATGATCCTCATGATCGGGTTGCTCTCGCTACCGTATTCAAGTAGAGCGCAACTCAGGACGATCGATATGTGGTACCCATCCTCCGTCCACTGGCAAGCAGATGTAGCGAGGTGTTCAGTCAAGATTTTCGACTGGGCAATGAACTGATCATAGTCCTTTCCAGAGAACAAGAGACCGTGGGCGCGTACGAAGGCAGTGTTGATATCCATAGCTGCGATAACCCCCTCATCGTGGAGAGGTACGGTGATGGCGACTGGAGACTCCTGCTTCGCACAGTCGAGGTCGTCCGCGTCGAGAGTGGGGAGATCAATCATCACCATGTCGCAATCTTCTGGATCGGCTCTCAAGGCCACATTCATCATATAGGCGGACTCCGGGTGGTTAAGCTTCTCAATTCCGTCGTCTGCGCGACTCAGGTCAAGAGACACGGCCACCTCGTTCGTCAACTCGATGTGAGGAGTCTCGTTGAATTCGTACGAATTTGTGTTGACCACAGGCGTTCCGGAGACCCCGTTCATATTCTGTTCGAAGAACGTCGCAAGGGAATCCCGAGCGTCTAGGAACGGAACTCGTACACAGAGAGACTTTGTGTAGAAGAAAAGCTGCTCGAGAGTGTTCGGTTTCGCACAGACTGCTAATCTGTGATAAAGACGGCCGATCGAGGGATACCTGTGACTAGCCTCGGAGTACCACTGACGTGTAGCTGACGTCCAGGCTTCGCGGTCCTGGAGGTGATCGTCTTTCATAGCAATCCTGGAGTCATCAGCAAGTGGAGACGCCGCAGAAGCCATATTACTCACCGGTATGCACCCAGATCACCAAGATGTTCAATCCAAGTAGATTCAAAGGCCGGCACCGTTCGATATACTCGCGCCATGATGAAACACGCCAAGTCGATGAAGGTACACATATGGTCGTGTGATTCAGGCAAACAGCCATGTAGTCGATCCAATAAGGAACGTATCCCCTTCTCCCATAAGCGCGCTGGCATTGCAAGCTTGCTCGCAAGCTCACGCAATTTTGGACTGGCAGAGTAGTCCTGAGTGGTGGACAAGAAGTCATAGTACTCACACAGAAGCATATAATGACGTGCGACAATGGCCTCCCATGGCTCATGACTGAGCATTGGGTCCGTTTTGGAAAATTGAGTTACGATGGTCATGTTGCACTGGTTCTCAGCTTCCACAAGCTTACAATGAATAGCTTGGACTTCGCTGATAGGCGTAGTCTCGGGCTCGCTATATGTGACGATTGTGTTGTTAAGCATACTGAACGGGGAAGGCAGCTGAGACGTGTTGAGATGCAGCGTCGCTGTAATTCATTTCTTTTCGTCTCCCGTCTCGGAAGAGACTTCATGGATGATTGCAGGCGGCTTTTGGATCCGGTTGCGCTTCAGGTGGTCGAATTGACGCAGGTACCCGCCCGACATCCGATATTCAAGCAGGGCTTCCCTTACAGACCTCGTAACACGTCGATCGTTCATTGTGCGGAAGCTAACGCTACGGACAAGGCAGTCAGTTTGTCAGCTACCTTAGGCTAGTAAATAGGTTGTTGTCTACTTCACGGAAACGCAGTGCTGGGCTGAGTTGTGTAAATGGCGGGTCGTGCAAAATGACGAAATCTTCGAGAGGTGAGACCTAACTCTGTTGATAACGCTGTTCTTTATGATCTGGCACTTCGTCTCTCGAGAGACCAGAGCTTCTGCAGCGGAGGCGGCAGCGAAGTCTTTATACGCTAGGTACCCTCGTGGACGCCTTGGACGAGGGATGGAACACAAGGCGCAGCCGATCGGACTGAATTTGTGGTGCACGGGCCGATGAACACCGTTTTACCGTGATCCTAATGCATCGTGCTAACTAGGCAGCCGCGCAAAGATACAGCGATGGCACACTTTACGGCGTCTCGAAGACGACTCCGGTTGGTCTTCGTATCGGGACGAAGCTCAGGGAGGAGGGGGCCTATCGATCGCTAAGGCCCAGCTCCTGACCTGCCATGCGAGCCAATGGCGTATGCTAGATGGTCCATGGCCGGCCAGGTTCAGCGGATGCCACTAGTAGTCCGTCGCCGCTGCCGCGTCACCATTTTGATCTGAGTGGGAGAGAGGATCGACAGCCTTTTCTGAGTTGAACTGACAGCCTGTTCGTTGCCGTTCACCTTGAGGATGAACATGACCCTGTAAATCCTCGAGTCAGACCTTCTCCTACAGGAACGGCCAGAATATGGGCAGCTTGGAGACGTACTCGGTTGCACGACTGCCATCCAAGCGTAGAAGAGAAGGAATTGTTTTTCGCTCGGGTGTTCATTGACTCGCTTCATCAATTGACTACATTCGGAGTGGTTAGCTGCTACATCCGTTATGAGCGAAGCAGCTACCAAATGGTGGGGCGAGTTGACTGCTTCCGAGGGAGGATGACTGGCTACCTAAGTGCAGATCAGGCTCTTTAGCTTCTAGATTTTCCGTGGGGCCAGGGCTATGCGACAAGAGTTGAGCGGCCATATCATGATTCAATTATTGCATAGAGCACGTTCTGGGCGTACTGCCCACCGTGCCTGACGCTAGCGTTACTTACTGAATACTTTCTCTGCTGTTCTGGCCGAGTGCCCTGATTACTAAGGCGCAAGATGTCCTGCGGCTGGTCAACAACAGCCAGGATAGTCCTAGACAACGTATCCGAACGGCCGTTCGTGGAGATCCTTCTTGGCAAAGCTTTAGTCTGAGAGAGTCTTGTTAATACTCATATTGCTGAAGAGTAGTTAGAGACCTTGCCAGCTCGACTTAAGACGAAGTTGGAGAGCAAGGCGAATTTGAGTGTTCTATATCCACACGCAATGTTACGTTACTGACAGTATTCACAATATAACACCTGCCTAGATTACTCAGACGAAAATTCGCCAGATATAGCTCAGAAAAATGTTCCTGTACTAGATCAGAGAGCAGGAAACGGCCCCTTGTTGACTTTATGGAGCCTTAATAACTTTCATTAAGAACTACTACGCTTTTGCATGGGTCCCAGCCTCCATTATATATTACTATGTATACAGTGATGGGGAACAAGAGTGAGCTTCCCAGGATGGAGTACTTTCCAAGACAAGCAGCAGTTTCGTTTGTTTCCCGCCGCGGGAATACTCAGTAGGTCAATCAAAGCTGGAATAGACAGCAATCAACCCTGGGCTGTGGGAGCCGCCGCTGGCTTGTTCTGGCCAGGGGGCAAACAAGGTAACTGTCAGGGGTTTGCGCGTTGTTGGCAAACAACCGCATGATTGGGTTGGTTCGGGTTTGCTATCCAGTGTGTTGTTGGTGCTCTACCACGCGCGGCCCCTGTTGCGACGCAATAGCCACCCAATTTGGGTTGCTTGGCAGGTGAACAGGCGATATCGACACCCTCGCCCACAAAGGGTCGGGGGTGCGTCGCGACTTCCAGGCTCCGTGTTCTCTGTACCTCGTGGCGTGCAGAAGGGCGCCCCACTCGACATGCAGCCTAGCGATGCACCCTGGCACACTGGGTTTTCGATACTACATTCCGTTTTACTGATACATCCGGAAGCCCTGAGTGCACCTGCCGCCACCCAGAACTCTCAAAGTCTTTTTGCCATAACTGCTTCGGCTCCAGAACTGATCTTCCATCGGTGCCCAGGGCGGGGGTGAGCATTCAACCCGTGTCGTCAATGGTACAACGTCGGCGGGAGGCGGTTCCATGCCAGCACAGGCGGACGCACGCAACACCTATCATCACTAGGCGAGCCGCGAGTGACCAGTTCAGCCTTTGCTTAGGATCAAGATGACTACCATAGTAAAGGTTTATTAATCTTTCCCAACCCCCCGCATTAGTAGCCCTGCAACCGAGACTGTCTCCACAATTCGCGCTCTTGTAACTCGGGAAGGAATGTCGAGCCGTACTTTAGGAAGGAAAGTCGAGACGAAAGGACTG